TATATGAGAGTTGTCACTCACTTCTTTTTGTTTATAGAGGGCATCGGTTAGAAAAAAAAAAGAACGATCGAGACATATTCATGCTGAACTTACACCCTTACAATCTACTTTTCTATTTTTTGGAATTATCAGACAAAAACACCCATATGCATGCTAGGAATAATGAACTACCCAAAACATGTTCTAAACCGGTTCTCCAAGTTGGTTCATAGTAAACCGGTTCTAAATTGGTCCCAATGTTTGGAAATGCGAATTGGTTTAAACTGGTGATTCTGTTCTGCAGTGGTTCGGTTCAGGGGTGAACCGGTTTTCGGTTCAGACACCGGTTCGGAATGTGAATCGGTTTTTGTTTGCCCACGTCTAGTATGGACACACACCTCTATAAAATGAGTATGACTCTGTTTGAAGCCGATATGGCTAATCCGTTAGACCTGTTGACTAGTCAGCTTCTCCCCGCCCACATCTTTTTTGCACTCTTAGAGCATCTCCAACCCACTCCCATTCTCCATTATTTCCCCCATTTCTCCCCCCATTCCTCTCCAACACTACCTCATTTATTCCCCTATTTTGGGGGAAATGAATAGTATAACACCAAATATGGTGTTATACTATTCATTTCCCCCAAAATGGGGATGAACTTTGAGTTGTCGGTTTTAGTCCCTCTTTTTATATACTAATACATTTTTTGTTTTTTTATCTACTAATTATTATTTAAATGTAATATTTAATACTTATAATATTATGTTATATATTAAATTATATTAATTAATTATAAATATAATATTTTTTGTTTATCAAGTTCATATTAAAATTTAGAGTAAATTACACGAATGGTCCTTATGGTTTAGGGTAATTTGCGTGTTTGGTCCCTAACTTATCTTTTTAACTCGGAAGGTCCTTACTGTTTGTTTTTGTTACGCGTTTGCTCCCTGTTTTACCTAAAAAACTATTTTACCCTTGATTTTTTAATTAATTTAAATAAACACACCCTCAACCCCACCCCCTTACCTTACCTTACTTACCCACCATTTTAAATAATAGTCTTTTTAGGTAAGACAAGACCAACCGCGTAACAAAAACAAATAGTGGGGACCAAGCGCATAACAAAAACAAATAGTAGGGACTTTTTAAGTTAAAAAAATAAGTTAGGGATGAAGTGCGCAAATTACCCCAAACCATAGGGACCATTCGTGTAATTTACTCTAAAATTTAAATACATATTGAAATTTTAAAACACAATAACGTATTTTACAAAAGCTTATAATTACGTTTTATAAATATAATCTTATATATTTAATATTATTGTAATGAAAAAAAATATAGATTATATATTTGTTAAAACCAAATTAATAGAAGGGGTGTATTTGACAATTTATATAAATTAGAAGAATGAAATATACTTTTTGGGTTAAAAATGAGGTAAAAAATGAAGTATGGTTGGAGATGAAACTAGGGTTGAGCAAAAGGATCGAACCGGCCGGAACCGGCCCGAACCGGACCCGACCCGGGAACCGGCTTCGGCCAAAATCAAGAACCGAACCGGCCCAGCGGTTCTACCGGTTCCCGTTCTACCGGTTTTCGGTTCCTACCGGTTCTTGTCGTGTCTTCAAATATTGGAACCAGTCCTCGAAAAATAGCATCATACGGTTCCGGTTTTTGCCGGTTCTACCGGTTCCCGGTTCCAAAAATCCACAAAAATAACGTCCCGGTCCCGGCCCGACCAGTTCCATCGGGTTCCGGTTCCGGTTCCGGCCGGTTCCCCGGTCCATATGCTCATCCCTAGATGAAACACTATCTACCTTATTTTTACTCTATTTTTTGGGGAAAAAAAAAAAAGATAGAAGTGGGTCTGAAATGGTCTTAGTGAGTTAGTGTCTCACGTGCTGCCACTCCAAAAGTCAGTATTCAAAGAGCCCAAAACTCGTGGAGGAGGAATACGACAGATTGGATCACTGGAGGCCGATGATGAAGTCCAAGAGATATTGGGAGGGCCGGAGAGGGGGCGCATCTGCGGCAGAGGCACCGCCGAGAGGATTAACGGGAATGTGATTTCAGGAATCGATACAACCATGTTTTCGAACAGCTTCATCATGAAAAAGCTCGTCTGAGAATGATGATCGGCATTGATGTTTCACCAATAGGGTCTAACATCGACTACAAAGTGATTTAATTTTCCGATTCCGCCGAAAATTGAAAATTTCTTTTTCTCTTCTTTGATACGAACCTTAAATCATAGCCCCATCAAGCTCTATATAAATCACAGAATCGATAAATAAAAAAATTTAATCTGGAAGAGAGTGCAGATACGACCAAAATAAAGATTATGGTCATCAGAACCTAGAATAAAAGGAAGGAGAACTTTACCAAATTGCCTAACATTATGGAAAAGAATAAGGAAGAGAAGGCATGGAATCCAGATAGCTTTTTCATTATAAACGAAATCTCTTTTTCCATAGGAATAATCGAGAGAACCAAACTTCTTTCTTCAGTGACAAAATATTTTGCGCCATTTTCATCACAAAATTCCAAGAGTACATTGAGCTCACACAAGTAAGGTTAAAACGTTCTGGTTTTAATAATGTCTCATTGTATTGAATAGAGGACCTTTTTCAAAATGAATGACCTTATCGGTGAAAGATTTCAATTTTATATAAGGGGGTTGATGATCATGGCTTTGTTCATGGTCTGAAAATCATTGGTATGCATGGTTGTTTTGCTTCCTCCCGCTAGGATGATCACCATGTATGTCCACTTCAGGGTGCAGATTAATTCTACTAGCTAGTATGTCTTCTGGTGTTAATAGTATTACACTCGTGTAACTTTTTATGCCATATACATAAAAAAATGTTTGTACTCTTGTGTGAATTTTGTTTTATTTGTAATTTTCCTTGTTATAAAAAGAATTTTATATGTAACAGTTATACATTAGAACATGTATAAATAATTGAATATTAGTTACTATACACTTAATACTATAGGACGGAACTCTATGCCATATACAATAAGACCAGACATATTTCCTTCAAAGCAAGTAAGTTTCAAATCCATAGGAACATATTCATCATTATGTGTGTTATCAACGTTAGTTTCCCACACTATAACCTCCATCCATCCATCTTCTCTCTGTTTTGGAATCCATTTGATTTTGTCCAAATTCACTGTGCTTGGGTACCTGAAAGAAATGATTTTGGTTATTTCCTTTCTATGGGGTACTAAATCACGAGCCTTCACTGGGCACTGGAGCCCATGACATTTTTTTGAAAATTTGAACACAAGGAAACAAGCATAGGTTGTATCTGATGAGAGCATTTTGGTCTCAATGTCACATTTGATACGAAAATCCTGGTGAGATAGAATCTCAACAACCTCTTCAAATCTGCACCTACATTAATTAAGTCTTATAAATATCAGTGATTCCATGAAATCTGCTAAAGTAAACCTGATATGAAAGGAGTAATAAAGCAAACCTGGATTCGGTTGGAGGGTTGCACAACCTTATATTTGAAGAGTTGTATATAATTGCTTTTGCAGGTAGCATATGACATCTCTTTCCGTTGACTTCGTTTAGGGAGAATAACTGTCCATCATAGAGTTACAAGTTTATCGTTATGATACCACAAGAATATGTAATTAATTTCTCAAGTTTTGTTTTATGAAAAAGAAAAAGATCAGACCTTTTCACCATTGTCAATGAGAATTCCTTTGAAAAGAAGTAAGCACAGCTCTACACTGGAGGCAATTTGGACATCGTTTCCAGACCTTTTAATAATTCCTTCATTATTGGCTATCATTTGTTCCGCTGAGTTCATCTCCAACTTTGTTTTCAAGACTCCTCCCATGTTTGTTCCATCCTTCGATTTTTTATTTTTTTCTAAGTCCACCTATAGACAATTGGATGACCACATTATGACATTTTCGTACAAATTTTCCATAAATAAATACAAAAAAGAAGAGAGGTGCACTAACTATTCCACTTACACTTGGAATGGCTTTAAACTCTATGCCTTCAATAAAGATGCCCCATGTGCCACAATAATACTTAGAAAAGCTTTTTAGTAGAACTTCAAAATTAGTACTTCCATGATTACTCAAAAATCGAAACAATTCAACTCTCGACCACTGGCTTCCACCTTCTTTCCACTCTGCAAAATATGCATTTAAGGTTTCACCCTCCTTATATTTAAGGTTCACATATATCGGCCTGCTAGAAACCTTTCTTCGATCACAAAACTTGAACACTAGGTAAGCTCCATACATTCTCTCTGGAGTTAAGAACTCAGCATTTATCTGAACTCCAATATTAAGATTTGAGATGTCCAAGATCTTTGCGACCTTTGGAAATCTGCACAAACATATTACAATTCAGAAAATCGTATTATATCCAACATATTGATAGATTGTAAAAAGGAGCAAGTGTTTGTATTTTCTCATAATTTCATGTTACACTATGATTCTAATAAAAATATGTTTCTATGGGTTTCATATGTGACTTACAAATTGGTCAAAACGTCCAAATAAATTCAAAAGATCTTTAGTGAATAAGGGTAGTTTTGTCTTTTTCAAGTGTTTGTTTTTGTTTGACTGCGGCTTAATAATGTGTATAAGGTTAGTTAGTGAGAGTTTTTTTATTTTGCCATTTCCGTTGTTTTCCTCTTTTCATTGTTCCCCCGCAAGTAAAATGATAAGCCAGTTTTGGTTCTTCAATTTCCTGTTGCTTTTCTAATTATTCCTTTTGCAAATATATATACACATCATTATAGCACAACAGTTTCATTTTCTAAATCTCAAAATCCCACCAAATTATGTGTCCGTAAGATGAGAAAAACCACAAAACAAGCCCCCATATTTTGAAATTTGTTGTTAAAATCCGTTGGCACAAGTCAAAAATATGAATTCTACAATGCTAAGCTACTTTCTCAATATTTACTTCAACATCGATTTAACAAAACTATGGAAATTTCTATCACTTCATTAGGTGTTTAGATACCAAGCCCAACCTGTTTTCCACCATATATATCTTAGTACAGTCATTTATAAAAATTGAGGTTGCTTCTCTAGAAGCAAGCTCACTCACTCTACCTAGATTTTAACCTCTTGGATTTGATACAAGTTCCACTTCATAAAAGAAGTAGACATATGCATTCTAGAGTTTACTCCAAACTGAATGATTTTAAGTTAAATGACCTGTATAACTTGACTTAAAAAGTTAATAGAACGTAATGGTAATTACATAAACTAGAGAGAACCTTGATTGTTGAATGGATCTCCACTTCAGGGAAGAAACATCTTTGTATGAAAAACTTTTGGCTGGTATCATTTCATTTCTTGATCCATCCATGCTTATTGAAAACCACTGTTACCATAAAAGGTGAGAAAAAATTGAAAAATGAGTCAGAGAGCATTAATTATATTATTAAAAGGCATAATACATAAAACCAAGCAACAGAAGATGTCGAAAGGATGACAAGATAGTGAGAATGATGAGTTATTTAATTAAATGGCTACTTTCGGTCCTGCTATATATCATCTTCATGGCATGCTTAGTTTGTTTCTTGTATAATATTGATGTCTACTATGGTTATTTATCAATGGTGTTGCTTGTTTTAAGTTATGTTGAGTTGTAAATGATTCCTAGGTGCAAGATTTTGATTATATTGGTATTGTATCATCTTCTTTTTCTTGCATACATAAATGCTATGGTAGTAAAGAAAATTCCAAGAAAAAACAAACATGTAATTGGTGACTATAGATGTATGTTTTGAATGCAGAAAAGATATATAAATGGTTAAAGAGATGAGTCACCGCTTTTTCGTTGTTAAGGAGGATTCCTGAAGAAAAGAAGGAATGGAGATCCTTCTTCGAGATTGTGGAGGGCACCGGATATTTTGACATTTGGACTATGTTCTTATAATCTGTAGGTAGTTTTTGCTCCCATTCCCACTCATCCTGTGTATATGTGAAAGACGAAAACGTTATAACTGCATGCAAAGCAGCTTGCTGAATCTTGCTATTAAAAGAGCGCTCATTAGTTTCTCTACTCGTTAAGATGAACTTACTTGGCAAATGAAGGCTTTTTCAAGTTCCTCTACAACTTTAGCCATTGTTGGGCGATCCTCGTGCTCTTTCATCAAGCATTGATAGGCAATGGTTGAAAATATCACCAAGGATTGTGGTTCAATTTGTTGTTTTATAGCATGAAAGATAATATCTTGTATTTTTTGGGTTTTGAAGCTTTTTGCTGCCAACTGTGCAAGAAAGACATCACGATCTTCTTCAACTGTCGGTCTTGCACTTTTCAGTTGAGCCACAACATTTGGGACTTCACGAAGCTGCTGTTTCTGATCAATTTTGATCCTTTCAACTGCTGATCTCCCAGATAAGATCTCAAATAGAACAACCCCAAAAGAATACACGTCTGATTTCTGTGTTATGGAGTCTGTAGTCATATAGAGTGGATCAAGATAGCCTAACGTGCCTGCACCTCTGAATATGATGAAATCAGAAATAGCAGCTTTCCAATCGTCCCTAAGTAGAATGCTATCGCTTTTCATGTCACCATGAATCAACTGTTGATTGGTTTCAGTATGACTATGAATGTAAGCTAACCCATGTGCAGCATCAACACATATCTTGAGCCTTTGTTTCCATGTTAGACTAGTATTGGTCAGATGTTGTTTTACACTTCCTTTAACCATGTGCTCAAAAAGAACGATCCTCTCACCCTTCTCTTCACAAAATCCTATAACTGGAACAACATTCTCATGGCTATAACTATAAAGCCTTGCAATCTCCTTACAAAATTCTTCTCCGTATGAATCCACTGAACCACGGAGTCGCTTTATGGTAACCGTGTTATGTCTGCTCAAGTGAGAAAGTGCCCCAGAGTACACCTCACCCAATGGTCCTTGCTCTTTTATATCACGGAAATTGTTTGTAGCAGACATAACATCATCGAGTGTCGTTCTAAGGGATTCCACCCCCTTCACCTACATAATATGTGCAGAGATAAGTGCAAGCAATTGTAATATTATATATTACAATTTAGGAGTGTTTGGTGTTGCTTATTTGAAGTGTGTGTTGACTCATTGTGATTTGACACCGGTAATAAGCTATTTTACATTTTGATAGAATAATAGTAAAAACTAAACACACTTATTTACTTAAATATTTGATAATTTACTTTCTCCTCACTTATTGAATTAAATAAAGCGTTTTTGATAAGTTACTTCTTCATTACACGTATAAACAGAATTTGCCAAACACTAAAAATTAACTTATCAGCTTATTACGTTTTGGTACCGGATAAGCCGATCAAAATAGTTTTTTTAGAACTCCATTCTGACACCAGATAAACTAATAAACACTTTAAAGAAACATAAGTTGTTTCAAATAAGGAAACCCATAAATTTATCCTCACATCCCATAAATATATTATATGGATATGGATATGGATTTTACGTCTAAGGTACGAGTTTCCTTCTTAATGTCGGCTAAATGCAAGAAATAGCAACGTACTTTCGTTTATTTGTGTATTATAGCATCCTACTTTCATATCATTCTATTAGTTATTATTTTTCAATTTTTTTTAGTTTCAAGGCCCTTTGAAAAATTTACTAAATTATACGCCTTGTACTTTCAAATTTTTTTCTTATTAGCACATAAAGCCTTGAAAAATCTACCCTATTATAGCGTGCATTTAGATGACATTGTGATAAAGTACAATGCTACAATTTAAAAAAATAAAATAAATAAAAAAAAAAACTTAATTACTTACATGGGACTTGAATGCTCTCTCAAGTTCTTTCACGACGTCAGCCATTGTGGGACGTTCCTCTCGTTTCTTTTTGCAGCATTTATATGCAATTTCTGCAAATATCGTTAGGGAAGCTGGGCAGGTTTCATCATCCAGAACTGGAGAGCCGGCTTTCTCAAATTCTTTCTTGAACTTTGAATCGATAATCTCGTTCACTTTTTTCTGCTGGAAGCAGCGTTTAGCCATATGAGGTAGAAATTCTGGTTTATCTTTGGACAATTGGAAATGCGCCAGTCTTCCACTCAGTGCTTCCAACAAAACCACTCCAAATGAATAAACATCAGACTCCTTTGTCAGCTTACCTGTCTTGGCATACTGTGGATCAATATATGCGAGTGTGCCAACAGCTTGAGTCATAAGAAATGTGGCTTGCAGATTTGCGGGGCCAATTCTTGACAAACCAAAGTCACTAATCATGCCTATGTAGTTTCTCCCTAGTAGAATGTTGGAGCTCTTTATATCTCGATGTATTATCCTATGATGTTCTCCAACACCGTATGGAGAAAGTCGAGCCCATACGCAGCATCGAGGCAAATCTGAAGACGTGTTGCCCATGTATGACAATTCGTGATATCATTCTTTTCAATATGACTATCGAAGCTTCCATTTGAGGCATACTCATACACAAGAATACGCTCATGATCTTCATCACAAAATCCAACAAGTGTGACAAGGTTTTTGTGTGTAAAGTAAGGAAGAACAGAGATTTCTTGCAAGAATTCCCCGGTTCCTTGCCCATAATTCCTATCTAACCGCTTAATAGCAACAATGCTTCGTGTTCTTTGGTAGCTTGAGAGTTCCACCGTAGAAACTGTCCTATATCCGCCCTCTTTAACATATTTTCTAAAATCGAAGTGGAAGAGTTTTGCTTTGTAAACTTTCCCAAATCCACCAATTCCGATTTTATAATCGTCGTGAAAATTATGAGTTGCTGTCTTTATATCTTCGAATGGGATTTTCATATGATCCATCTTTTTCACCTGCACCATTGAGTGTCATTGTAGTGGAAAATAAAAGTTAAATTTCCCTGTTTTTATAATATTACTACACACATGAGGATCACATAACTCAAAGATCTTTTTTATCATTTCAGAAAACTCAAAAGATCCATAGAACCTAGCTAGTTGTCTCCCTAATTTTGCTTTATCTTAAATTTCCTCATGCCTTATGTTGTTTTACTTCAATTCCTATGATCAAAAAGATACTAATAGTTATAAATGCATGCACAATCTATTTGATGAGCTCATACTATTGCTTGGAATCCACATTTTCCATCTCCAACCATATTTTCTATGTGTAATGTATGATAGAAATTCATTTGGAATTTTATTCGAAAGTGGATATGAATTTTGCATTGTTTGTTCTTGGTTGAAGTATAAGTTATGCATCGATTCATCTTGGTTTTAGTAGGAGCCATGAGTCGCTTTTTTCCTTGTTAAAAATGACTTGCACATTCAAGGTTTCTACAACAAATACTTGGTGTGTCTCTTTGGTTCTTAGTTTAAATCAAACAAATTAGACCCCATATAATATGATGTATACATAGAAAAACTATGTCTATGAGGATCTTGAGTGGTACTCTTGAAATGCACAACTGAAGGTTTATTTTGACAGTTTTGTGCTCAATAATAGACATCCACGTGCATTTTTTATTTTGAAAAATATAGACAAAAAGAATTAACAAAAATAAACTTAATTAAAATGAACATCCATAGATTTTGATTTGATTTGTTATTATTTTATTATATAAAATAAAACAAAATAAAAGAAAAAATCATATAATTTATAAAATTAGAAAATTAATAAAAATAAACTGATTAGAATTTCTAATAAGGGGATGTTTGAGTAATTATGATTCTAAATGCAACTTTGTACTTTGTATTAGAGTATTGTATATTATATTATGACATTATAATTTGTAAGAGAATATATTATTTTCTAAAATAAGGCCATTGTACAAAAGGGATAAATGAAATAATTTGCAGTGGATTATGACTCAAACGTAGTGTGTCAGATTGTTGACAAAGAAATTGTCGGAGAGGTTCAATCCAACCACAAAGTGGTGACAAGCTTTTAGTGGCTGTGCAACGACAAAATATATCATCCCGAATAGTGATGGTAAAAATTATCACTATATTGTCCACAATTTTGTCGTAAACAATATTTTGATAAGATTATAAGTAATTAGTAATGTTTAATTAGTCGTTAAATATCTCACCAAAATTCAAGAAGTATGTAGCTAATTTTCCGCAATAAAAAATAAACTTGTTTTGCTGCTAGTGATTTTCCGCTAGGGTATGATTGTTGCTGATGCTGATTTTCTATTAGTGATGTGTTTTTGTGCTTGTTACATCTAATTAATTTAAAGAAAAATGGTAAACCATACCCTTGAAACCTCACAACACACCTACCCTAAAGTTATCATGTTAGATGAAGATTGTTAAACGACAAAGTTCAAGGAATTATGGTTGGTTTTGGACCCGACACCTCACTTTTAGAATTCCGCTTATAGTATTTTTGAAGGAAAGAAGAAAACGAGTTATTATAATTATGTTTAAATTTTGAATTTCATTACCTTAAAGTCCTCTTCACCTTCTCGTTTGTCTTTCAAATTATCTGCAACCTAATATTCATAAAAAGAAAGTTAGCATATATATAATTTTTTGAAATTCACAAAGTTCAAGGAATAATGGTTGGTTTAAAAAATGTGCATATATGCACAAACTCAAATGTGCATGATTTTTCAACCCTTGTTTTAGAGCTTATCTTATATCGAAAAAAATAACTAAAAATATGTAAATTCATCATTTATTAACCTCTTTCCATATTGATATTCGAAGAAAAAAAATTACGTAAAATGTGCACCATTTTCACATATACACAAATGAAAATATGCATATATGCACATCTGCATATGTGCACATTAATGTATAGATAAAAAACATCTTAATAAGTTAAGACGCTGCAATAGAATCTGATTTGTTGAAAAACAAAATTCCATACAAACATTTTTTACTGATGTGCATATATTTCTATTTGGTTAGGGTGTTAAATTAATTAAAATAAACACCGTCACAACGAAAAGCTTTGGTATGCATATATGCACATCTGCATATGTGCACATTAATGTACAAATGAAAAACATCTTAATAAGTTAAGACGCTGCTATAGAAGCTGATTTGTTAAAAAAAAAATCAAAATAAACGTTTTTCTACTAATGTGCATATATTTCCTTTTGGTAAGGGTGTTAAAATAATTAAAATAAACACCTTCACAACAAAAAGCTTTGCTCTCTCCTAAAACAAAAACTATAATATATTTATATGTATATTTTTAGCGAAAAATGAGCATTGTAAGATGTATTTGCAAACTTGTGGAGAAAAATATAATAAACTCATTAAGAAGTTATCTTAAATATTTATTTAAAAGAAAACTTTATAACCTACTTCAATAGTCTTATTAAACACCAAATGACATCAAATAATAAACTACTTATGCATGCTCAAAACAATTTAAGTGTTTAGTTGTACTTTCTCTTTTCTTCACATTCTTAAGTCCGAAGATTTTGAGTAGTTTGTTAAGGTTTACATGGTAATTCGAAACTTTACACTGTTTGGATTGTGTGACTGCCCCCAAAAAATTAAATATAAATAATAAATTTAATTTGTTGCCGCAAGTATAAGAGTTGATATACTATGTAGGTAGTAATTAAATTTACAACTCCCCATTATAAAATATTCCATGTGATCATTTATGTAGTGCATATAGATGTTTAAATGAATTATTGATGAAATAATGATCGAAAATATTAATTAATGTATATAGTAACTTACTTGTTGATGTGCTAACGCCTCCTCAAATTTTTGTTGAAGTTCCAAAACTTCCTCAAGCTTTTCGACAACCTCAATGATCGGCGTTCCTTGTAGTCACTTCTCATGCATTGATATGCAATTTTAGAAAACACATCCAAGGAATCTGCACTCGTTTGTTTTATTAGAAATGGATCTATGATTTCGGTAAGTTTTCCATTTTGATAATAGCGGTGTACCATTGGACCAAGAGGCAGTTTCCCCTCTTCATTTGCCAGTCTTCCACAAAGAATTTCCATTAATACTATTCTAAAAGAGTATATGTCCGACTCTTTTGTTAGAAAACCACTTAGCATGTACATAGGATCCACATAGCCCACTGTACCAACCGGATTATAGTTAAAAAGGAGAGTATTATGTCTGTTTTGCGGACCAATTTTGGATAAACCAAAATCAGCTATCTTTGCATGCCAATTTTCGTCTAAAAGAATATTTGCACTCTTCAAGTCACGATGAAGGATTCTCTGCTGGGTTCCTATAGGATTATGAAGATAACTTAAGCCACGAGCTGCACCAAGGCAAATTTGGAGGCGCTTCAACCATGTGAGGTTAGCACTACTCAGATATCTGTCAAGGCCTCCGTGTGTTGCAAACTCGTAGACAAGGATCATCTCTTTCCCCTCGTCACAGAAGCCAACAAAGTTTATGATATTTTCATGTCTATATAAAGAAAGAAGGATAATCTCTTTCCAGAATTCTGATGATCCTTGGCCAAATGCTCTATCAAGCCGCTTGAATGCGACCATGATAGAGCCTCCTCGCCGGATGAGCTCTCCTTTGTAGACCTCTCCAAACCTACCACGACCAATTATATATTCACCAGCGAAGTTGTTTGTTGCTTGTCTTATCTCTTCCAGTGGAATTCTTAAGTGAGCATACTCTTCCAGTAACGACATGATTTGTTTGTTTCTGAGAAAAGTTTTGAAGAAAAAATATTATAAAAACTGCAAAGGCACAAGGATGATGAGGTTCACTGATGATATATAAAGCCAAACACATTATCTAACCAGAAATTTTCGTCAGGGGAAACACAAAAAAAAAATTCCCCAATAAAATATTAAGAGTAATACCAAATTAACCACAAAAAACAGCTTAACACAGAAAGTCAGGGAACGGAAGATTTATCCGAACTTTTTACAAGATTTTCATCATTTGTCTTCCTTTTATTTCCCCAAGTGTGGCCATAAACCTTATGTCACATAATATGTGATCCTTCACAACCTACATCTTCAAAAGAGCAGTATGGCATAAAATAACCCCTTCCCCTATCCTATAATTTTCAAACGTAATTACGAGACTAGGACACTATACCTAGCTTCCTAACACACTGAATATCTTTGTTGTGGTTTTCCCCTATGATCTTAATGACAGAGTTCAAGACATCAATATTTCAATGGGATTGGAACTTTGGAAACCACAAACCCCAAGCCTTCAACTCATTCCAATGGGATTTGGTACTTTGGAAACCCAAAATTCAGAATGGTCAAACACTGGAGTGATTATTAGGCATAACTGCAGCAAAATGAAATTAAAGGGTTTATAATGAAGGGTTGCAGGTTTACAACAAAAACCAGCAGAAATCTTGAACAAGATGAAAATCAAAATCATGAACCAAAATCGATTTCTTTTCCAAAAATTATATATCAAAATCATTAACAGCTAGAATATATTGAAAACAAAGAACCAGCAAGTTGGGAAGGTTATAAAACAAGCACCTGGAAAAACTAAACAATATTAGGCCAATTAAGTCAAATCACTAACCTAAGTAGCTAACAAACTAACAAACTATGACATTGGACATAGACATAAGCCAAAAAAAAAGTTCCCAAAACCATTGACCATGGCACATTGTTTTTGATTTTATAGTGATAGAAGTCAAAATTTTCTAATCCCAAAACCATTGAGCATTACTAACAAATATACCATTAAAATAAGATTTTTTTTCAAACGGGGTGAGGCTGATTATCTATCAATGGGTTATTCAAATCCCAATTTATCAAACATATAGGTCAACATGCTAAACTTGAAATTGAAATCAAAATTTATGATTGCAGTTCATCAATTGAGATGCTAATCCCATAACTTAAATTACATGAACCACAACACGCGCCAAGAAGAACATGGTTGGAAATTTAGATATTTAAAATTGCAGGTAAAGAGATGCTGACCTTTCGATTTCGTTTTTGATGAGTACTAGGAAATCAAATGGAAATTAGTACCAGGAAATCGAATAAAGCCTAATGCTTTATAAAAGAACTATTCACTGCTGATTTGCAAACATATTTTGTTGTAATTTCGATGTTATATGATGTCCTGCTATTTGGATGAAATCGATACTGGCCACTGGTTCATAAAATGAAGATTACGCTACCAAACGCCCCATATGATCGATTTTGTGAAGACGATGAGGATGAACAAATTGAATCCCTTCCCAGTCCCTTCGTCTACAATTCTACAACCAGTGAAGCAAGGAGACGAAGCAATAATGGCCTCGAAACCTGAGTACATATTTTACCAACCAAAGATAAATATAATATAATTTATCTAAAGACGCAATCTAACAGCAGCGCAATTGCCGACAAAAGTCAACTTCTTTGAATACAAAGGCAAATTCAATAAATATATATATATATATATATATATATATATATATATATATATATATATATATATATATATAT